TTGACATTCGAGTGATATCACTGTCGGAGGCCTCAGCAAAATCACGGACGGGGTAGTGTAATCGAAAGGTTCCAAGACGTATCCTTCCTTGCCACCATTGTCGTCGACGACCATTGCCATTCCGAAACTCCAACGACCCTCCTTCTCAAACTTGACGTTCAGTTTGTGAGCAGGCGACGCTTGATCGTAAGTCCCATTCGGATCCAAGTTGCCATCCGCATCGCGTAGAAACTGCAGCTGATAATCACGATCGACTTGTGCGTGGCTGGTTCCAATGATACATTTCCGATGCATCTCATCCCAAAAAGCGACATGTTGCAGACCAAAACGATAAGCAAACAGCGCTTGAGGATCAAAGTAAACCGGCACAGTCCCGTCCTCCTCGTACAACTTGAGCTCCTCTTCGTCCAAGAGAGTCTCGGGCACCTCCAGGACGGAAGGTGGAAGCTCGAACAGGTCATGAGGCTCCGTCTCCTTCTCCGTGCCGAGTCGAAGTAGCAACTGATAAACCCAGGCAAAGCGGCGTCGAGCCCACGGAGAATTTTTGTCGTGGTTCCCTTGCTTCATCTTGCGAATGGGAACTTTCCGGCTTGGAAGACGCTGGACCAATTCACGGACAGCGGAATCAGAGTACGGCTCCACACCATCATCAATTCGACATTCGTTGAGTGTGTCAGTGGCAATTCGGAGACTGTCTCCTCGTGACTCAATCAAAGTAGCGATAGTCTCAGCAGCTTTGGAGCCATCAGGAATCTTGACGGGCTTGAACCGTGAATAGAATCGCTGACCAACATACTCAAGGTCGTTCTTGGCACAGTAATTGATGTCTCCGAAGATATTCTTGCTTGGCTTCCGCGTCTTCATCCCAAGAGCGTCCTTGATTGCCAATCCAGTGCTGCCCTTTCCAGTCCAATCCGAAGGGAAGTTGTGCACCCGGCAATAGAGGTGGTAAGTTGCAATGCGCTCTGATTGGTCATGGTGAAGAAAGGATTGCTGATTCAGGAAAGATTCCATCTCTTCCGGAGTGAGACGAAGGTCTGCTGCTGCTGCATCATCATCGCCGGAAGGAGGATCATGCTCATCATCTGAAGGGGGACCCAAGAGTTCATTCAGTCGTTCATCATCCGGTTGCTCCGTGGTTGGCTTGCGAGCAGCAGAGCGAAGGGAGGCGGTGGGAGGAGGAAGCACATCATCAATAACTTCATTGTCGAAGGGACCAGTGTTGACATGAGGAGTGACTGCATGGGGAGTCTGCAAGGCGGCGCGCTGTTGTCGGGACCACACAGCCCTTTCATCCTTGGACCGGTGCTTCTTGCTCTTGGATTGGTAGAAGCCCTTGCCGCCCTTCTTGCGCTTGGCCATGGTGGGAGATACTGGTGGAGCGAAGGAATCCGACGGAAGCTTGAGGAAAGAACCCGTCAGAAGATGAAGGATCGGAAGGATCCTTGTAAGATAACGAAGCCGAAGCGTGGAGGAAGAAATCAGACGGAAGAATGACGGACAAGACGACGGCGCAAAGGATAACAACTGAACGGCGGATGGCCATTGCCGATCAATCCAGCCAAGATTCAAGCAGAGCTTCGCTTTTCACTTGAACGGAATTTATGAGAGGAGCGTCTTGTGTTTTCGGCAATCTTGGATGGCAACGATCTTGAATCTTCCAACGTCAGCTCCCACATGACAAGCAAACGGCGCATCCCCATGGTCGATTGAAACTTCTTGATAGCTTGAGAGGTCATTTTGGCAGGGCTTCGGCTTGGGCTTGGGCTTATTGGATTGTTAAAATAATGAGATGGTTTCCTTCGAAGAATGAAGAGGCCATCCGACTGATCGACTGATGGACCGCGATCTTTGTCAGTTGAATCCAGGAGGTTGCTCCTCTCTCGCTGAATCTTGCGGCAACCAACATGGACACAAAGGGAAACCCATGGTCTCCAAATATCGATCCCATCTGACAAAGAGGCAATACATCATTGTGGAATTTCAATCGAATGTCTTGTGAGAGGCTTCACGGAACGAGAGGATGACATTCAACATGGTCGCTGATTGGTTTTGCGGAACCACTCGATGCCATCAACATGGTGTTGAACGTGCACACATTGTGGTGAAACTTCTTCTTCGATTTTCTTTGGATGCAATGACTAAATAGAGAACTCAAAAGACTTCTGTGACTGGAGAGTCGGCATCTAGTTTAAAACTAAGCCTCACATTTTGCCTCACATTTTGCCATTTCCTGTTGAAAACACGGAATGAGGTGTGTGTGTTGAGGTTTCCGAGATGAGGAAGCCTCCAATCAAAAAAAGCTTTTCGTCCGCCCATGGGTATATGTTGTGCTGGGTAGACGAAAAGCATTCTTGATTGGAGGCCTTCCCTCTCTCACTATCCTCCAAAAAGACTTTTCCTGATCAACCAAAAAGCGTTACGGTAGCGTGGTAAATACCCGTAAAATGATTAGTTGAAGGGGCTCCAGAGGGAGAAGGAGGAGGGTTAAGCTAGTCTGGACAAAGCATCTAGTTGCACATGTTTTGAGTTGTGGTACCCGTAAAAGTGATTTGTTGAAGGGGCTCCAGAGGGAGAGAGAAGGTAAGCTAGTCTGGTAAGGACATCTAGTTGCACATGTTTTGAGTTGTGGTACCCGTAAAGGGTTAAGTTGGGGCTCCAGAGGGGAGAAGGAGGAGGGTTAAGCTAGTCTGGAGGCACATGTGGGCAAGTCGCAATGCACTCCAGAGGGGATTATGTACAAGTACATGTACAGGTACGGTACGTACCCTTTCGAAGTATCTTAAAACAAGGGTGGGAAGCAAAAACACGTTATCTTAACAATGGGTGAATTGCGCGCACCTCTTCGCGCGATCGAATGACGTCAGTACGGCACAACCTACGGCATGCTACGTACGTTCCGTGTCGTAGGCGTGCCGTAGTCGTGTAGGATTTGTACCGCACGCTACAGAGGTAGTATAGTACTGTATTTTCTATAGTAAACATGACTAATCGGTTCTCCTTCTTCGTGGTACAGTACCCGTAAAAGTGATTAGTTGAAGGGGCTCCAGAGGGGAGAAGGAGGAGCGTTAAGCTAGTCTGGACAAAGGCATCTAGTTGCACATGTTTTGAGTTGTGGTACCCATAAAAGTGATTAGTTGAAGGGGCTCCAGAGGGGAGAAGGAGGAGGGTTAAGCTAGTCTGGACAAAGGCATCTAGTTGCACATGTTTTGAGTTGTGGTACCCGTAAAAGTGATTAGTTGAAGGGGCTCCAGAGGGGATTATGTACAAGTACATGTAAATACGTACCCTTTCGAAGTATCTTAAAACAAGGGTGGGAAGCAAAATTGTGTTATCTTAAAAATGGGTGTGTCGCGATTCGAGCCACCCAACACAAAAACACCTTCGTTTCGCCATGGCAGCTGGACCTCTGTGGAAAGGTCATTCGTGGCAAAATACTTAAGAGACGATTCACCGAGGCATAGGAGACGATTGAAAGGATTTAGGAGACGAAAGCAATCGTCTTCTATATTTAAGAGACGATTCAGTAGGAGACATTCCAATTAGGAGACGATCGTTTCGAAATAGGAGACGATCCAAAAGATTTAGGAGACGATACTATACAGTTTACATGGTACACTTAGGAGACGATCCGTTGAGAATAGGAGACGATCCGTTGAAAATAGAAGACGATTCAAGAGAAAACGAAAGATTTAAGATACCATCCGTTTCGTTTCCTATTTTTAGGAGACGAAATCCATTAAATAGGAGACGATCAAAAGGATTTAGGAGACGATCGGTTGCACGACTCGAGTTTCCATAGAGGTCCTGTGCTTCACTCGGTCGTACCTTTGACTTGCAACAAGAAGAGGATCCGCTTTTCGCCATCTGTAAACATAGATGGTCTCACTCAGAAGCAACAGAGGCGCAAGGGAGCTCTCGAAATTATCATGGATGATAAATTTGACAAAGAGCTTGAGGGCCTAACAGGCCGGTCCACTGTTTTCCTCTTGGGTTTGATCAACCCAAATGGTGATGAACTCCCTAATGGTGTTGAAGACGAGGTTGTAAGCAAGAGAAAGTTTGAAATTCGCCATTTCCTGGGAGCATTCAGGGGCTTGGGCAGGACGTTGGATAGTTTGTCGGGGGAAGAAGCAAAAGTCCTGGATACTTTGGTGGGCATGGACGATTTTTCTGCAAAGTTCACGGCTTACCTTCCGTCTACTGCTGTTTCATCGACAGATACCTGTCAGAAGTATTCGTTATATAGCATCATTCGTCCTTCCCTTAGCATGGGGAGGCAGTCTACCTTTTCCTGGGTCCTTGGGTGAGTGGTTAGCATGCCGTACAGTGTGACCCATTTTACACACAAACTTCGCAGGTTGTTACGGCATGCTAACCACTCACCCAAGGACAAACTTCGCAGGTTGTACGGCATGCTAACCACTCACCCAAGGACCCAGGAAAAGGTAGACTGCCTCCCCATGCTAAGGGAAGGACGAATGATGCTATATAACAAATACTTCTGACACTCCCCATCGTCCGAGTGCAGCACAGATACCGTATAGTACTACCTCCCAGAAACCAGTGGGCTTTTTAAGCTGGGCTGTAGGGGGGGAACAAGAGACGTGGGTCTTGTCGGTCCTTAGAGCGGGGCATGAGTCGCAGACAGGCGGCTCCCAGAAGCACTGCAGCAGCCGTCTGCGACTCGAAGTCACAATGTACCACAATTTGGGCTCATAACCTGCAAAGTTTGTGTGTAAAATGGGTCACACTGTACGGCATGCTAACCACTCACCCAAGGACCCAGGAAAAGGTAGACTGCCTCCCCATGCTAAGAGAAGGACGAATGATGCTATATAACGAATACTTCTGACAATACCACACCGGAGCGCGTACAACGACCTCGCCAACCACCTCGAGATCAAGCGAGACGAGACCGGGAACAGCAGGTCGAAAATGATGCAAAAGAACTCTTTCGTTTTGCAGGACCAGACGGAAATGAACATGACGACGTCCCCAATCCTCCACAAGCGGTCGAAGCTAAACAGGACGAACCTAGCCGCGGATGGCGAATCGTTGGCTGTTTGTCACTATTTGTTTATCAAATTGTAGGTTTTCCTGATGGACTGGGGATTGGCATTAATGGGTTGGAATTCACATCTTTGGCGATGTCCATTATGATGTGTTCCTATTGCTTGTTTCCTGTTTTGGTTGTACCGGTAATCGATGCCAAAAAAAAATTCACGAAACTGTAGCATGCCATAGCATATGATCAACGGAAGCCGAAGCTAAAGCCGCGCCCCCTCAGTTGAGAGTGCACATGAGCTACCTTTAGAAGTCCACACCGCACATCTTCTCGTCTAATTCTTAGCGGACCTATCTTTGTCCAAAAGCACGAAAATGTGGTCTCTTCCTCACTCGTTCTTTTCATGTGCTTGGGAACAATGTCCTGATCTTATTAAGCTTGATCGACGCCCGCCAGTACTTTTTCAGTAGATCCTCCATCCTCATGGTCATCTCAACAGTACATGCTACAGTCGTACCAGCTGCATAGCATGTACTGTATCGGTCTGAACAATCAACCAGTTAACGCTAATCTTATTCTCAACACGCCTGACGTTTTTCCTCCTTGACCGGATTGACAGCCTGCCTTGTTTGCTATCGTCTAGCTAGCTCTAGCTAGTACCCGTATCATTGGTAAGTATCTCACCAATACAATGGTACCGTACCGTAATGGTAGTTTTATAACTCAACCTAGATCTATGTCTTTGTTCCGCTTTAGCTTGCAAGACCCAGGCTGACATTGGATTGAACCTTGCAGTTTACTATAGCTCAGCTCGAAAGGTGACCGGTCCGGTCCGAGCATTTATCTCGCCTCCTTTGGCAGTGTCCTGGCATCTTTGGTAGCATACTAGCTACAGTAGCAATTATTAATTACTCATTAATAATTCATTCTTACTTACCTGGGATTGGGTTAGGAGAGTAGGGGAGTACCGGCATCCTACTGCTGAGCCAAAATTGAGTTTAGGACAGCTCGACCTTTTAGGAGCGATCTATTTTGCAAATTGGACTGCCTGGCGTGCTACTGATGTACACAGTGAATCGGTCATTCCAATGGATACGTCAACAAAGAGGTGCGCCGATGACCGGATGTCGATGTTCCAGCGAGCGAGTAGGTCCAGCTGTCCAGCTTTCAAATTTGTTCGAGCTGGAATGCGCAGGCGATCGACCAGCAATCTACCAGTCCCGAGTGACGTACGAGAGGGGCGTGAGGTTCGCATTGTGAGGTCACGTTTGGACACCCAGTCATGCATTGGAGAAGGCTTCCGGGAAGGCTTAAGAGAGAAAAGGGAGCCAGCATGCCCACCACGGTGGTCAGGCTGGGGCACCGCAAAGGTGCGAAAGTGTCCAGCGATGGTAGGAACCCTACTAAAACTACACAGTAAAAATAGCTACGTATCCTAAGCAACAAAGCATTCTTTTCTTCTCACAAATCAGTTCAAAGTGGAAACAGCAACGGCTACTACTATGTCAGTCAATTATACCCCTGGTGACGCCCTCTTGATCAAGTCTGGTCCTGAGAGCTTGTTGCACCAGATCGTTGTCTTCAAGGAACCTTGTGAGGACAACACTACGAAGTGTGTTGTCCACCAGTTGACGTCTGTGGAGGAATTGATCCTCCCTTTTGCGTCGGTGCAAAAACTTTGTGTTGGCAACTACTTTCGTATGCTGGGCACTCGCATGTACAACGCACCCCTGATCCAAGCTGAGGATATCGCGAGGGCTGGTGCATGGTCGTTTGCCAATGAGCGAAATCATGCGGTTGTGTATCGTACCCCGTCTCCCGAGAGTAATCGTCGTACTGTTCGCATGCTGTTGCAGACACTCACCGATCAAGAGGCCCGCCTTGATGAGATTTACAACGACCGTGCTCGCCTACGAGAGCAAGTCAGTGCACTCGAGAATCGCGTCCAAGAGCTGGAGAACTTTCTACATGAACAGGATGTGATTCCTACTGGTCTCTAAATAGTTTTAATCTACTACTAGTACTATTGATTTTGCTCTTGCTCTTGCTGTTGTTGTTGTTGTAGCTCTAGCAGTCGCTTTTTCGACAAACCACGAGGCTTGCCTTTTTTGATAAGCTCCTTTGCTTGGAGTGTTTTGACTAGCATTCCGGTGGAACGTTTGTCTGCTTGGAAAAGAGGCTCCCATTCACGTAGAACATCCAATTCCTGCTTCTTTTGGCTGGTGGCATAAGCCTTCACCCCCATAACAATCCGGCTTGTTGCTGAGTAAAGCGTACTGTCAAGCTTTTTTCGCCAGTGTCGGCCATGCTCCTTGTTACGCCCTTCGATACCACCGTAAGAATCGACATAATCACCCAGACCATGCCACTCATTCCATAATTCCATCAGCGATGTGTGGCGATTGTGCATCCGAAAACCGAAATGGTCTTCTGGTTTTGATTTAGGCCCTGTTGAGGTTGCAGTCTTGGTGGCCATCGGTGATCTCGCCGGTGACTGCACTGTGTTAGGAACAGTAGCCTCTGTTGCACCACCTGTCTCGGCCATTATCTCGTCAATGTCTTCGTCTGTGATAAAAGGGCTACCGGTACTGTCAGTACTGCCATTCGGAGAGCGATCGGATGCTTTGGGGGAACCGGTAGCTATCATTCGAGAACCGGCTTCAATGAGAGTAAAGCCCATCACCTTCTGAATCTCATTCTGCTGTTGCTCTTGTGTGCTTTGCACGTCCCGAAAGCCATCGGCAACCGCCTCACATAAGCGATCAACCTTTCTATCAAGGTTGGTTGTCGCGTCATAAGTGGCGGCTAACCTCTGGTGGACTCCGGGAAGCACCTTCTCTAAGTCTGCGTCAAGAGGATTCTCGTTGCCGTTCAGGGCTGTGCGCATTGTTTCTAAGTAAGTCTGGAATAAAGAATGCTCTTGGTTAGCTCAATTGCAAGTGTGCAATAGAAGACCACAGAAACTTACCTTAAAACGTTCTGTTTCGAACAGTGGGAGGTGCTGAAAGAAATGATGTTCAGCCCGTTTTGGATGCTGGATCATCATAGCCGCCGCATCCTGTAATAGCACAACGTTGAGGTCTTGAAAAAATCGAAGAGCTTCCATTGCTGTTCTCCTCTCGCACTTTGGATCTGCCTCAGCCAAGTCCTCGAGCATGCCATAAGCAAACGAAAAGGGCCCTTCAGCCAATAGCTCTGCAGGTGGCATGCACGCCGTTCGTTTATTGTAGTACATCCCATTGCTAGTGTTGTAGCCTGCTAGTTGTCGCATTGTGTTCATGGGTAGCTTGGAGGAGTAGCTGTTGTCATACACGGTCATAGACCATTGCCCCATCTGCCGGACTTCTTCTGGGTTCACTTCCATTAAATCCAACAGCTTGGTGCCAAGATTCCTGCCAAGGTGCAACTGCTTGTTAAATGGGAGACCCAAGTGTTTCAAGATTCGCTTGATGTGGTCGCTGTAGCTGTCGTTGACCATGGCTGACTGCTTGTCTGTCGCATAAATGTCTACTAGGAACTTGATGTCGAACCAAGTCTTGTTGTCTTTCCAATCTTCAACTGTCATAGAGGCGAATTCATCGGTGATCCAGATTCTGTAGGCCAGGTAGAAAGCAATGCCACCAACACAGCATTTACGAACATCACGGTGTCGAGTGGCCCTTCCATATTGCTTCTTTCCTGCAGTTGTCTTCCCTTGGGCAATTTGCATCACCATCAAATACATATGATGGACGTCCACGTCTTTCTTTGGGGGCCTAAGTCCAAAGAAATCCGAGACATCTGCCTTGTACAGACTCTCTCCACGAAGAATTCCGCTTGTCAAGTACAAAAAGCAGGCTCTGTGCCGTAGATTGGACGAAAGCGACCTTCTTGAATTAGAGTCGCAGTCAACCCAAAACTCCTGCTCGATATCACCGTAGCGCTCCACTATCTGGTATGGAGCAAAGGAACCATCCATTTTTTCCACATACTGCGCTTTTTTGATGCGAGGCAACCTTTCTTTCACGTGCTTGTGTAGAGCAATCAAGTCTGCGGTCCAGATGAACTCCCATGCGATGTTGCAGAAACCTTTCCCAACTTGCTCTGTGTGGATATTCTTGAGCACTGCCTTGTAGCCATTGAACATCTGTTCTCCAATTGGCTTGGTGGGTTGTGGATAGGCAAGCTCTTCTGCTGTGGGTGGTTCAGCTGCTTCCTCAGTTGTGGTGGGTGGTGTATTGTTGGGATGCTGCGCATTGGGACCATTGCGAAAGAAAACACCAACAACTTTGAGATAATCATCTTGATCAAAGGTGGCGCCTTCAGTCCTCTTCTTTTTGTTCCCACCTCTTGGCTTCTGCTCGCGAAATGCTTGATAAAACATAAACCAAAACACCTTTTGCCATGTAATATTCTGCTTAAAGGGACTATTAGGATAGTTCTTCTCGCAGTAGCTTTCGAATTCGGCTATCTTGGGATTGTAGGCCTTGTCTGTGTTTGTTGGTGTGCCGGCTTTGTTGCTGTCTGTTACAAATTGGGCCATGCGAGTGGTAGCAATGCTCTCATTGGCATTTCGAACAATCCTTCCTCCTGTTGCCGCGGCAGCAACTGTTGATGGGTTAGCAGCATGCTGATGGGCGGCAGCTGCTGCGCTCGCAGCAGAGGCGCCTCTCCTTCTACTAAAAGTGGCCGGCATTGATGCACAACAACAACAAGCAACAAGTTGGATGATTGCTTCCGACAAGCCACCGAAACGATTGGTCTCTACTGGACTTGCACCGTGACTGAACAAGAGAGCCTCCCACACCGACTGGTATGCGATTTGGCATGCTGTCCTAAAATCTGGGCCCGCCTTTTCGGGACAATGTGAGCTGGCAGGGCCGTCTATAAGTCTATTAATATCTACCCTCTAAGTCCACTGAGCGAAATAATACCCTTTATTTCGCGCATGCTGCGCGAAAAAACCAACCAAACCAACTCAGAATTTTAGGATCCATCTAAAATAGAAGGCCGATCGTTTAGGATGGACCAAAACAATAGAAGACGAGTATTATTAAGTATACCATACCGTACGGTATACCATTCTGTCGTACTGTACGTATGTTTATGTTACGGTACCAAAAACAGCTCATCAAGCACTCCAAGAATTTTGTACAGTACCGTATTCCGGATCCGCCCAAACTCTCACAATAAAGTTTTGGGCCACGTGCGCCCCGCCACCGCCTCGCTTCCTGCCGCCACAACTCGATCGTAACGTCCCACAGGAAAACAATAACATTCAGCATCAATTTCGCAAGAATAACCCATGGCAATGGCTGTAAAGTGCGCTTCTACCACATCACTCCACACTCTAAAAGCGCTCTAACCAAACAGACAGGAAGCAGCTCAAGCTCTGCAAGGAACCCGAGAGTCCTTTGCCAGCTCTTATCGAGTTTATTTTCGTTTTCGTGGCATACCCTGCCAACCCAGCAAAAATGAAGGCAAACCGTTGGCAACCACGAATACCGATACCCCTGTCGCTACTGGTGTTGTTGGTTTTAGATCAACAGCCGTCTGTGCGGGCATCATTTGGTGATTATGCCGGTAAGGCTTCAATATCTTCCCCATGCTACCCCCCGATTATCGAATAGTATACCTTATACCTCACCGCCAAAAACTTGCCTTTTTCTGTTTGTCAGACTTGTCTTTCCAGTGCCCTGCTTTGACAACCTGCGAAGCAGTGTGTGTGTCCAATTCCACCTATTGTCCCATGGAGCTAACCTGCCAAAATGGAGAAATTCTCTGTGAAAGTGGGCGAGTCTGTGTCAACAATGTTACAGACTGTCCCGAGGAAGAAAATCCCTGCGCCATCAACCCCTGCGGAAATACATTTGCGTGTTTACGCACCAACCTCTACCTGGATGAATGCAGTCAATTATACGACCCATACTACAAAACATCCTGGGATTGTGGTGTGGAAGATCCTCGTGTAGTTCAAAAGGGAGGCTCCAACGTGGACGAAGAAAGAATTGGCTGGACAACAGCCACACACCTGTTCCTTTACACTTGGATATGCGTTGTGACGGTGCTTCTATTGGGCTGGTGTGCCTACAATCAACGAATTTCACCCAAGGGACAGACTGTCCCGCTGCACGACTTTACTATGGGTGGGAAAAGACGGAGGAGTAGTTACTCTTCCTTGGAAGGCAGTGATGAACCAGCTCTTTGGACGCAGACGGGGTACAAAACGTCCATTATAGGAACCACCATCTACATTATGGTCATGACGACGTTGATTGGAATGCACATCCTTTTGGCATGCTTGGTGGCTTTCTATTACGCGCAACAACGAGGATACGGACCGGTCAATCCCTACAAGAACGATGTTGAAGTTCTCTTGGCCTTTGAGCTGGCGTGGCTTGTTAGTTTTGTTTGGACGTTGATCCTCAAATGGCCTGCGTCAATCGAGGCGCTTTTTCTGAGACGATGCTCACTCTCCGAAGCTACCCATGTAGCCGTCTTTGCACCAACACGACACACCGTCAAACAAAACAAGGATATGGCCTCTCAATCTGAGTACATTGCTCGAATCAAGGCGTGGACACAAACGTTCTTTCGCTACCTCGACAAATTCTTTGCCTTTATCTTTAGTGAAGTCCATCGTCCCAATGTTCCGGGACGCTACCATTTTCACAAGGTGGACAAGGAAATGTCGTTCTCTTTCCGATTGAGACGATACAACTATGATGATGTCACCGAAACTTTCATGCCTGGGATGATGATCATCGGACACTCCTTGGAGGATATGCTCACCCACCGGGAGGGACTCAAGACAGAACATGTTATCGAAAGACAAAAGGTTGTGGGCAAAAATGCCGTTCCGATGACGAAACCAACCGTACTCTCTGTCACCCTGGTGGAAGCATCCAAAATCTTTTACGTCTATCAAATCTACATCATTTGGTGGTGGTTCAACTTTTGGTACTGGCACATGGGTATGATCTACTTTGGAATGTTTGTCCTGGGTGGTGCCACAACAGTCTATGTGACCTACATGAACGAAGCAAAGCTGTACAAGCTAGGGGAAGTGCATGGAAAAGCCAGAGTGAAGCGAGACGGGGCGTACATTGACATTCCACAGACAGAACTTGTCCCTGGGGACATCATTTCTGTCGAACCAGGCAAATGCCATTGTGACATGCTGCTTTTTGAGGCAGGAACCATCCTCACTGATGAGTCCGGTATCACAGGTGAAGCCACACCTGTAGCCAAGACTGCGGTCGACGCTGCAGCTGTCAGTGCGTTGTATTCCCCCTCAACTCACAAGAAGAATACAATCTCTGCTGGCTCTATCATTCTCGAGACGGGAGAGAGCAATGTTGAAGCTCTTGCTGTGGTGACGCAAACTGGCAGTTTCACAACCAAAGGAAATCTCTTGCGAGATATTCTTTTCTATGAACGTCATCAATTCAAGTTTGATCACGAGGTAAGGCACACTCTGCATCTTTAGTTCAGTTCCGTGCTAGCTGTATCAGAGTGCCAATATCTGACGTTTCCTTCATTTCACCAGATCAAGCTTGTCTTCTTCATTCTCATCCTGTATGCCATAACTGGCTTCACGATGACAGTCATCTTCCTGAAAGAGTCGGAGATCGCTTATGCCATCTTCTATGGCATGTACGTTGTAGAGACAGCCATTCCTCCTCTGATTCCAACGGGTAAGTAATAGCGAGTGGCTTGGAGTATGATGATCCGTTTGCATGCTGCTGACACAACCTGTCATCTCTCTATTACCTCAGTTTTCTTGGTGTCAGTTGGAATCTCGGCGGAACGCCTGCTCCGAAAGAGGATTGCTTGTGCCGATAACAGAGAGATCTTGGTGACCGGCAAGGTGAAGGCCGCGTTTTTCGACAAGACAGGGACTCTGGTAAGCGAGACTGGCCAGAATGATCTTGCGGTTGGGCTGAAGATGAAAATGAGGCGCCCAGCTCACTCACTTCTCCTCTTCCTACTTGTGAGCAGACAAACCAGGGCCTTGATTTCTTATCGTCGCATCTGTTTCGCGATGGGGAACAGTCCGACTTGCCTGAGGATGCAGAAAGAATGCAACGCGGGATGGCTGTTACTCACACCTTGACAAAGACCTCAAAGGGCTTGTACATCGGCACCTTCATTGACGAAGTTATGTTTAACGCGTCGGGAGCTTCAATGACGAGTGCCAGCGAAGGCCCTCCTGTTGTGACGACCCACGATGGCAAGGGACTCAAGGTGTTGAAGCGATTTGAGTTCGATCATTCCACAATGACCCAGTCTGTTATCATTGAGGACGAGACAGGCGAAGTGAAAACCTATGTTAAGGGCAGCGCAGAAAGCATCGGAAGGCTTTGTACTCCCCAGTCGCTACCACGCGAGTACCGAACGATGGCAGAGAATGCATCGAGAGACGGGATCTATCAGATAGCGTTGGCAATGGGCACTTCTCCGTCTCCAAAAATGGGTGACAACGGAGAAGTTTCCTATGCGTTCGTTGAACGAGGAGAGGTTGAACGAGACCTTAACTTTGTTGGCTTCATGGATTTCAAGAATACCTTGCGGGAAAAATCTCCTGACACTATCGCCCACCTTAAGGAAGGAAATGTCAGCTGCACAATGGTTACAGGCGACAGTGTATTCACGGGTATCAAAGTGGCTTACGAGTGCGGTCTCATTGGCAAGGAAAGCCGAGTTGTGTTGGGTCGCTCAGTGGATGCATATGGCACTGTACAGTGGGTGGACGGAGAGACCGATGAACCTGTAGCCCTTCCTTCAATGACAGAGCTTAGTCAGCCGGAAGAACCAGCTGTCCTGGCCGTGACCGGTGAAGTCTGGCAAGTGTTGTTGAGCAGATGGGAGGAAGAAGCCTTTCTCTTGGCTCCATTCATTAAAGTGTACGGACGTTGCACACCAAACGACAAGGTATCAGTTGTCACTCATTTTGTTAAAAGAGGAGACATCACGATGTTCACAGGTGACGGTGGAAACGATGTTGGTGCCCTGAAGACAGCGCATGTTGGGGTAGCGCTGAGTGATTCAGAGGCCAGTATTGTCTCGCCGTTTACTTCGTTGGACAAAAATATCGAGTCTGTTGTCGAAGTTTTGAGAGAGGGCCGCTGCTGTCTGGCTTCAGCTTTCAGCAGCTACAAGTTCATGATTATGTACGGACAACTTGAGACGGTTCTTCAGCTTGTTGCTGCATGGTTTTCGGTTGGGTTCGCGGAATGGAACTGGGTATGGCTGGATGGAATCCTTGCCTTGCCCCTAGCGTTCGCACTACCACTCTCCTCGGCTGCTGAACGGCTTGGCCCTACACGACCAACGGCATCTCTACTTGGTCCACATACCATGTCCAGTGCTTGTGGAATGTTGACAATACACCTTATCTGTCTGATCATCGCCCTCACGGTGATGAGGAACCAAGAATGTAAGTCAATACGCTCTCCCTCTCGTAGTGTGCGACCGAACGAGGCTTTTGTACTAACTCCGTCATTTTGAATGCCGTTTCAAAGGGTATCAATGTCGCCAATGGGAATCCACGGACATTAGCTTAATCTTGGCATTGGGAGACAACTACGAATCCAACGTCACTTTCCTAATGATTTGCAGTCAGTATGTGTGGAGTGCTGCCGCAATGAACTTCGGCTTTACCTACCGCAAACACTGGATCAAAAACTACTTTGTGGTGATTTTGGTTGTGTTTTTTTCTTTCGTGCATTACTGGATCACTTTGGTACCCGGTGTAATGTCTTGTGCTCTCAGGATCAACTGCCACAATGATGATAACATTACGCCCAGCGTCTACAACCAGGGGCCTGTGGCAATACAAAACCCATACAATCACACCGTTATGCCGGTTGAGTTCCGTCGATTCCTTGCCGTTCTAATGACCATCAATCTTCTGGCCGTTCTCGGTTGGGAGTTCTTCATCGTTGGGCACGGTCATGGCAAGAGGGCGTGGTTTTTCTGTTGCAACCTGTTGTTCAGTGAACAGAACGCCGCAGAGGAGTACGTTCCGATCAAGTTCTCCAACGAAAACGACCCCACCAAGTCAAAAGACTTTAAACCACATGAACCGTGAGAGGCTTGCTGGTCGATGGGCCACAGTCTTCTCAGGCTCGACTTGACTCGTCATCAGTCTTTGTAGGAGAGCGCTCACCATGGGCGCTGCTACCAGGATAAGGGCCCAGCAACCATTTTAAAATTGTACTACTAATTTTAGACACCCGAAATACATCATTTTCTTTGCCTACGTTGGCCGTAAAACAATTGGACTGAACCATGCACTCGACTCGGAGCCCCTGCATCATGATTTGAGGGGATCGAGTATGTCATGAATGGCAAAAGCTGACACAATATGAAACAGAACGAAAACTGTCCCTGCCAGAAACTGAAACAAGCCATTCCAACTCGTTCGCCGTTCAATCTTGGCAGCATCAACTTCAGTGTTCATCTTGTCCATCTGCTTCATTGTTCCGTTCTTGTCTGCTGCCACGACAACCTCGAAGGCTGCATCTCTCTTCGCGAGAAAACGCCACGATAGGCCCTTTGCTCCATTGAAAAGCAGGGTAAGATGGACGTTGATCATGAAGGCATGGAACACCACGAGAGAGGCAAAGGCTATGGCTCGGAGCGAGACCAGATGGACAAGGCAGTCCGCTTCAGCTGCCATAACGCTAATCAGCTCTTCGTTCACACCCGTACAGGGAGTTCTGCTGCAGCTATTTTCCAACACCTGGCAGTCAAAGCGGGCATCTTGCAGTATCCAACCAGTAGAGTCAACCTTGCAATTGGGATCAAACACATAACTGCTCATTGTGTAGAATGCAGCAGGAGGTTCTGCCCGTTCGTCAATTGGACAACGAAAGTTTCTCAAAGCCGGCTCGAGCGAACAATTACTATTTGTCCCGTAGCCTTCTAGACCGCAGCATGCTTCTTCGAATCTCTGGTCCAAGACGTCAGTGTCAATACAGCGATCTAGCCGCATATTCCACCCTTGAGATTGGTTGTATTGCTGTTGAAGATTTGACAGTTCCAAGACATTGCTCCTGTGGAGCAAGTCAGAGTCGGCAAACATCTTGTCACAAAGCAACCGCTGCCGTTGACGGCAGTCGAATTCCCCCTTGATGTGGAGCGCGTTGCCAGGGGCACTGGCATGATTCAATATCAGTGGGGTGAAGATAGAAGCTGTAAACGTGCCTTCATCGGTTTCAAGACAGCTTTGATGAACATGCGGCAAGTAGTAAACCATCCCAAAGATGGCGATGGGAAGCATAACCAGGAATCCCACCATCCAAATCGAGACTAGGTTCCGACCAATGTTCATGGCGGTGGACCAAATCGTATAGAGGTATCCGCTCACGTTGCAGCCGCAGGTGCTGCTTCCCCCTCCTTCGTCGTCGCCGTCATCGTCATTGTCCTCTTGCTGATTTTCGTCTCCCTCTTTGGCACGAGTCTTATCAATGACTTGTTTCTGAGGCTCGGTAAGGCGCTCGTACTTTGCCTTCAACATGAACCCTCGAAGGAATTGCACAGTCAGATCTATCCCGAATTTCCACGAAAGAAGCTTTGCAAACAGGTACATGATCCAATCGGGTATCCCAATGTCAGGTAGCTCTGGTTCTTGATAATCAAAGGTCGTGGCGTTGTCGATAAACGTAAAGTTTCCCATTTCGAGTTCTGGGAATCTAGTGGGAAGCCCTCCAGCTGATAGATTCGTCAATCCCTTGATCTTTTGGACGGCCAACAATGCGCCAGCCTTGGCCGATTCGGCAGCTTTCGATAAGAACGCCTCTTCTTCCTCCAGCGTGGATATTTCCGGCCGAGATCCCTGATATTGTGGTGGGTTGTAGTCTTCCAGGTTTATGTACTTGCGCAACTGAGCCAAAATCTCGTCTCTTGCATATTCCAGAGCATTGTTGGCCTCTTCCTCGAGCTTGTCCAACAGATCTTGAATCAGTGGAACTGCTTGGTTCGTAAAGTTCTGCAAGAGAAGCTCGAGATCAGGTAAATCGGTTAGAAACTCGGGTATCTCAAAGATGTCTGGAAGAAAATGTTCTCCGATTCGGAGACCGTGTAAGGTGGCAAAGTCGGGTATTTCGTCTAGAGATGGCGCCCATCGCTGCACCAGCAAAGTAACGTTTTTGAAGCGCTCGTAGAGGTAGTTGTATGCTCTGAGAAACTGTTCAATGCTCTCGTAGAAGTGTTCCACTCGTTCTTGCAAAACTTGGATTCGAATGAGAGCAATCCTGTAGGCTTCGTTGAAACCTTCCTGCAAGAGCTTAACGAGCTCATCGACAACCTGTTGAGCCTGAATAGTGAACTCGACGCTTGGGAAGAGTGGATTCGACGCGAGCTGTCGCAGCACTTCCAAGGCTGGTTCGATGCGTTCTTTGACAAAGTACGTGTAGTCGTAATCGGTGCGTTCCTCGGCGTATGCCCGAATGTGGCCAACGGTAGAATTGCTCGTTTCCGCGTACCCACCGACGATGGAGCCGATTTCATTCTCGAGTTGCTGGAAGTCTTGCCCCAAGCTCTTGGCAATATAGTCTTGATCACTTGCAGAGCAGGTGTGATTGAGATATGGCAAATCCTGACCATCGAGGACACTCCAACCATGCAAGGCTTCCCTTCCCTTGACTCCCGCGACGTTACAGGATTGCGTCACAGTTCGTATCTCTCGAAGGAGTGCTTGATTGTGCTTGTGAAGACCCAAGACGTTGTTTTGGTATTCCTCATCGGCTACCAGCAGTATTTCCTTGTTCAAGTTGTCAAAGGCATCCAACGTGCACTGATGATACGCCAACGACTCTTGTTCCAGAAATGTTTTCAAGTTTAGAATGGGAACTTGGACAACTTCTGCGACATTGGTTGCCGCAAGTGGAAGCGACAAGGAAGCAAAATACACGAATAATGTCATACTCCACTTGGGAAAGGCAAGTAGAAAGTGCAGAATGGTCATGAGCATGACGCGCTTCTTTCGTTTCGATTCCTTTTCAGCTTTGTTGCTTGCATTCGACTGTTTTTCTTCATCTGTTGGTTGTTCCGGGTCGTTTCCGTCGCTGCCCTCTTCCAGTTCATGGCTGAGATCGATTGAATCTTCCATGGTTGTCATTGTCACTTCTGTGCTCTGAAAGGATGGCTCCGATGTTTTCAAGACAACGCAAGAGTGTTGTGTCAAGTCGGTTGGGGTATCGATGAGGGGAAAAGAAACGGTAATTCGATCCTGAATTTGTTTAGGGTTGGGGTGAGCTTGCCTGCTCGTGTGTCTTCAAAAGGCGACGATGGTGGCGTTTTTATGTGGCCGTTGCTTTTTCAGATCACTTTTCATTGTGGCTGGCATCGAAGCAAATCTTTTTCGAAGTGCCTCTCAATTGTTTCTATTGGTGCCTGTACATCGATGGGTTGGAAGTGCTTCCCTTGGAGGTTATTATAGCTGACGGAAGGCAGTCCATTTCTCTATCCATTGTGGTTGGTTGGTTGTCTGAGTGCGTTAGGTTCCCCTCTTTGACGACGGACAGTCTCTCTTGAAGGCTGTGGTATACCGGTAGCAGAACGTGCTACCCCAAAGGATGCCTCCTCAGCTGTCGTCAGCTGTTCCAACAACAACAACATCCTCACCGATCCACAAGTCCAAGTCTTGTCCTGCAGATTTTTCGGGTGATCAGGTTGACCCTCTTCTGATGTCGTCTTCAGCAGGCTCAGTACGGACGCCTCCCGTGTCCAATGGAATGATGGGTACCAATTCGCGTCGCAGCCGAAGATCTGGCAGTGGTGGGAAATTCACGCATGGCCTCAATGGCAACGGGACATCCACTATTGCTATGGACTTGACAAAATCGAGCAGTGCTACCGGCGCTAGTATTACTGGTAGTACGAACCAACCAGTTCCGGGGAGACCAAGAAGACGAGGTAACAAGAATGTCATTCCCGTCCTAATGGGCAAGACCAAGAAAGACCCAGCGCAATCACTGCGGTACAGATTCTTAAATGCACGCTGGATGAAGTATCCCATGAAAGGAACCAACAATTCCTATGCCTCTCTGATCCTTGCAGTCGTGCTGTGGTACTCCCTAGGTGTCGTCAGTATCACCACCTCCAATCTACTCATGATGAAACCCACGAGATATAATCAAGTTGGCGGCGTGCCTCCACTTGTTTTGACACTTCAACAACTCATCATTGGATCCATGCTACTCTGGTTCTTGCTCAGAATTAGATTCATGCAGTCACCAGGCGTTCAACCATGGCCCAGTCCCTCTGCAGCCGCTATAGCTGCAGAAAATAGCCGACGAAAAAACTTATTGTTCCATCACAATCGACCCACAAATAGCAATTCACTGCTCAGGTAAGAAAACTATATCAAAGGACGACAAGCACACTTGTGACATTTCAGTTTATTCATCTGCTTCCTACTCTCCACGAAACAAAAAGTGACTTGGCTTCGTCCGTGTCGCCCAACCTTGTATTGGCGGGTGTTTGCTTTGCCACGGGCTTTTTCGCAACCAACTTTGGTTTCTTGGCCAGCTCGGCTGCATTTGTTGAAACGGTAAAGGCAGCAGAACCAATCACCAGTGCTGCAGTCGCTGTCATGTGGGGTATCGAAGTCCTCAGTGGTCCAGAAATGTTGAGCTTGGGAAGCATTGTCGCGGGTGTTTTGATATCCACGCTGGCACATAGTAGCGCTGCAGCGCAGGGAACCGACGCAGGTGCATCGTCCATGATGCAGTCGTTGCAGAGCTGTTTGGTTGTCATGACAGCAAATCTTTGTTTTTCCTTTCGGGGTCTCTACCAAAAGCTATTTCGAGCGTCGCCGGAAGGGTCAGCTGCCGTCATTGACGATCTCAATTTGCAATTCCGGATGCAACAAATTGGCGTGATGCTCCTGATAGGACCCGTGATTATGTTAGACCTGCGAGAGTTGCTGGGTCACATCTGGGAAGTTCGGTCTGGGATTGCGATACAGTATGTCGCCCTGGCTCTGGTCAATGGCATTGCCTTTACAACCTACAAGTAAGTGATTCACTACTAAGTGAGATGGATGGGTAAAGTTGGCGAGCTACAAGTTGGTCCTTGCGTGCAAACGTTGGAATACTCAACGAACTGCTTCTTCTGTTTTTGTTTTTTGTGTCAGCCTTGCATCAACTTTCATTCTTACCAGAATCTCGGTGGTCCATCATGCGGCTCTTAATTGCATACGAAGGATATTTGCCATCATTGTGACCTCCATCTACTTTAGGATTCCAGTGACGGTCATCGGAATCTTGGGATTTTTCGTTTCCTTTGGAGGTTTCATGTCGTTCACGCACTACAAGATGGAACGACAGAAGCAACCCAAGCCACTTTCGTCGTTGCTCCCAGTGAGCGCTGCGGCGTCAGACAATAGTAAGGCTCAAGTGTGAATATGACTACAGCAAAGCAAAATAGAGATAGGTAAAGCTGAATATAGGAGGCAACAATATACGCTAGCTAGCGTGCTACACACATCCTGGCATCGTTTCATGTAGATGTGTACCTGAACTGCTTCGTAACAAATATTCTAAGCAAACAAGATAGACGAAAGTTGTGCAATGTGCAGCCGCATCCTAGGATTTAGTCTATTTTGTACATTAGCTTGCAGCCAAATCTATGTCCATGAAAGAGAGCGATTGCTCAGACTGGACCACCAGTTTCACTGAGTGCTCCGCCTAATACATCCAAATATAGCTTGAGATCGTCGGCACCTATACCAAGGGCGAAGCGGACGCTGTCGTACACCAAGAACTGCAATGATACGATCAGACTATAGAAAACAATACGGAGGGACACTCCAGCAAAAAGCCTCGGCGGGCCTCCTTCATCCAGCAGTGCACGAGCCGTATCAATTGGGCTCCGTTTGCTCTTTGCCTTTTTCATCTCAGTTATCGTGGCATCTGAAGCCAAAAGCAGGAGAACGACGTGAATGACCGCCATCCATTTCACGTGTGGTGCCAGCCACGCACAGAACCTGTCAAGCGCTTACCTGCGGGATTCGACACTATGGCTGCGACGACGCCACCAAGTGTCCCCCCGGCTAGACTGACTAGCAACGACAACTGTAAATCCTCACGGGCAACCGGGAAAGCATCGTACATGGCGGCAGTGGATAGATCGAAAATGGTGAATTTGGCTGCATTCCGAAGAAACGACGTTGGAAAGACAAGGTGAGGGAACATCGACGGAGGCAAAAAGCGTGAACATCTTTGCTACGATGCAGCTCACCCATGTTGAATGGTAGTTCTTTGGCCAAGAAGGCAGGAATCGCAGAAAAGAGAGACTCAAGCCCTTCGTCCTGTACGGTAGGAAGGAGTCGTGTCGTCAATGATCAGGGCAGAAAACGAATCCAAGGGATACGAATGAATGCCACTTACCGCTATCATTATATTCAAAATCTCTAGTGGGCTCTTCTTTGCTTTTCCTCCTGATCCTGATAGAGCAACAGAGCGGATTCGAACAGCTTCAAACGGGCAGAGTATATACGAGCCAATTGTCGATGATATTGCTGCTGCACAGAGAATAATTGGCACTTCAAAGCTGGCAGCTTCGACGCCCGCAAGCGAAGTGAACAGTCGTCGTAAGTATTCAGTCGAAGCATACGAAACTCCGCCCCAAATGAAGAAGCCAACAAAGGTGGGGGCCCAACCAACAAAAAAGGACCCAGCCCCTCCAGATTTCAGGACCTTCTGGAAGGCCGTGATCACACCGGGGTATTCAGCTGGGTTTGTCTGCACTTTCGTCTTCACGACGTCGATGGGCGTTAAAGCCAAATGAACCGCAGAACAGCAGATTGCACCTGACGCCACAAACCTCAAATAGGTGTCAATTCCCAATTTTCTTTCCCGCTCGATGGGGGAACGCCCGCGAGGTCCAAACTCAGGATCCAATGGCTTATTTGCCGATCCATCAAACAATCCAGCTGGTAGTTTATCGAGAACCTCTGGTGTGGCTCGCACGATGTACCTCTTTGCGTCCCTATCGAACTGCAATCCGATCCCTTCGGGCAGCAAGGAAAGCAACTGAGTCGACGACGAAACGGAGCCAAGCTTTGGAAGCAGTGGAAAGTTCCCTGGTCCACTGGTGGATCCACTGATCAGATCACCGCCGCCACCGTCAGCGTTGTTGTTGACTTCAAGGATACTTGGGTCCATTTTGTCCTTCCTTCCCAAATCTGTGTTCCGAGGTTTGCTAGCGAAAGCAACCACCTCGACACCTCTATCATAGCAAGCACGGCCCACACATCCACCTCCTCCGCCTTGGCCGTCGTTCAACGCCAATCTTTGGATGACAGCCGTCGCAGAAGAAGGGTCACTAATGTCTGGCATTTTTCGTTTCATTTCTTTGGACGGAATAGTTGTTGCAGGTAAGATCTGATCCATTGGAATCATTCGTGCTGTGAGTGGGTCGTTCATGTTCACACGAGCTGTGGTTGCAGGATGACATGTGAGACTCGTGCAGCACAGCCAGCAACACAAAAGCTACCACGCCACCATCAAGTTCCTGTGCGTACCTGTAAGTGGAGGTGGCTCAATATAGACCTGGATTGGCTTTTCGACGGCATAACCCGAGCCACCACTGACTAAGTTGATGCCTCCGATACAATACTCTAGCACTCCTGTCGCCGTGGCTGTCATCCCTCCTTCGTAAGGACGCATTTCAGGCGATGACAGCTTCACCTTGATGATTTCGTTCTCGGAATAGCCTTCACCTGGGTCTGTTAGCACGATCCTATCAATCCGGCCCTTGTTCGGACCTAGTTTGAAGATAACTGCTCGTCCCTCGGCAGCCTTGAATGTTGTACCGTTCGTGGCGCCATCCTGCATTCCCTGTGGAGGCAAAATTGTCACTTTAGGGGGCTTGGTGTACCCGAATCCACGGTTGACAACATCCAACCTCAGGATCCTTCCATTGGGCACCAGCTCGGCTCTCCCCAAGGCAGTTTCGTAGTCGGGACCAGCATCAGGCGGAGGAAATTGCACAAAAGGCGCGCCATACCTTTCGTAGAAAACGAAAAGTGAAATGTTAGCTAGCGAAAAAGTGAAGCTTGAAAACGAGCACGAGCGCCCGTTTCTTACCCGGGAGCATACCCAGCGCCAGGATCGACAATATCAATAGACGAGACGGAGCCATTGTCTATGGCTGCAAGCAGAGCTGTAATAGCGTCGACTGGCTGGTTCTTCTCCATGAGACCAAACAGAATTGTGAGTTGCCGCCGAGCTTCTTTGGTTTCTCGCTCTTTCTGTGCTTCAGCACTGGGTCCCAAGGGCGGGGCTCCTTCCAACTCCCGATCCGCTCGAATGGTCTCCATATCTGGGCAGTATCTCTTAATCAAACTCCGCAAAAGTTTCTTGGGTCCTTCTGTTCCACCTCCATAGAATTGGAGTCCAACCTCGACAGAAGCTGAGAAGGCTGCAAATTGTTGGAATCGGATGGATTCGATCTGCTGAGCTTTCGCTAATCTTGGTATATCAGCTGCCTTGGAGTACCACCATCGTTGGCAGTCTTCATCAAAGCACAGGAGAAATCTTGATAGATAAGTGACAAATGCCAAGTTGTAGCCATCCTTTTCAGCATCGAACACAGTAACTCCAGTTCGCTTGTTCACAGGGGTAGCCTCCCACTTCAGTTTGCCCAGAGTTTCCGCTGAAGCCGATGGGATATCGAGGGATGCCCCTAAACCAAAGGCAGCCGCCGCAAGGAATAGCCGACGGGATGTTTCCTCCTGGCCATGAAAGCCCCACTGGGTGGAATCGTCTTTGGTAGAAACGTCTTGTGGCGATGCATCCACCTTTAAAATATTGTCAGCCTCTTCAATTAAGCTTGATGAAAATTCGGCTAGCCACCGTGAAGCTGATGAAGTCTTGTCAGGTTCCAAAGAAGCTTTGACAACCCAAAGCTGATGATTCCGCGATCGGAGGGGAGGTCGCGCTGTAGCTGAGAACGTGTGAAATGCATTTGCGACATTGAGAGCCTCAACAAGGAACCAAACAGCGACTATCGCGTTGATTCTGTTTCCACCAACGATTGCATATGCATTGCATCTCCTACAGAGTGGTCTCATGACTACCCACAACTAACTATGGTTTGAGCTCATCAATCTTTATCAACACGGAAGGTTTGGTGAAGCCAACAGCCAAATGACATCTTTTGGGAAGAAGGAAGAAAAGATCGGAGATCGCTGACGTACCGATAAACAAGCCAGCCGAGCTGCTGCAATTCCTAAGGCGGAAAGACTGTGCAAAGTTCACCTGTCTGGCTTCCGGTACCACCGTACCGTACCGGTAGGAAGTCTACCGGTACCGATACTGGTGCCTTGGGTATCGGGGGATTGGTCATGCTTTGAGTTGAGTTGACGTACTACCGTATCGTATTTTGTGGCTCAGTGTTACAACGAGCTTCCAGAACCTGCAAGCATGTTGATTGATCCCTGACCACAGGGCTGGGGGCACTTACTTTGGGCTGGCTGGTCCAGAAAGGATAAATGTTTCTATCCGGTCGCTGCCATGTACGAGTAGCTTGAATGATTCAATCGAATCGATCCTTAACTGTCGATGCAACCAATGAACTGAGATATTCGCAGGATTATTCTAGGTAGGCCATCACCTCCTTTCATAACAAACGGCAGTTCCATTGACGACCATACAACTACAACTACAACTACAAGTAGAGCTGAGCGTAGTAGCTAGTAGGAGTATTGGAACAACCACGATCGATTATACGTCTACGTCACAATGGGCAACCCCGTGCAGTTTGGATCGCTCGAGATAGGAGAGGTATCTGGGATGATTGGCATCGCCTCGGTACTCCACCTTGCGTCCTTCCAGGGTCATGCGCCATTTTTTGTCCACTTCATACAAATCCAATCCAAGGGTTTCTGGGATGGTACAGAACGTGATAAAGCAAGCGACAAAGGAGGCGTAGCCGCTCAACATGAATAGATCCAGATCATTGTCCAAGTAGTTGAACACAACCGCAGCAATGAGTGCCCCCGCCTTGCCAGCGCATGCACAAATCCCGTGGGCCATTGTTCTCATTTCTGTGGGGAACAGCTCGGCAGCAAGCATAAAGGTTGTCGCGTTCGGCCCCAGTTGTCCAAAGAAGGAACTCGCCAGATACAAAGTGACTAGGGTTGCCGAGGACAGATCATTATACAGGAACCCGCAGCTGACAAACAAACTTCCAGTTACGAGAAAGCCATATTGCTGCAAGTCCCGCCGGCCCACTTTGTCAACCAGGAGAGCAGCACCAAAATATCCCAGCAATGCCACGGCTGCGTTGAGACTTGCTGCCATGGAGAATTCGATCAATGTGGTAGATTCTCCCGTCAGTGTCAGCAGAAATGTGCTTTGGAAGAGCTTGTTGCCGTAAAAGCAAACGTCCCAAGCCAACCAGGATAGGGAAGCCCCCATTAATCTCAGTCCATAATTCTGCAAGAAGAGCCGGGTCGGAGAGGACTTCAAGTCATCTTCCGCGTTGGATGAATTATCTTGATGGTCTTCCTGTGGAGGGGGAGTATCGGCTGCTGGCACAGCCAAGTTCGACACGTGCTGATGATGATGATGATTGTGGTGATGCTGTGTGGGCAGCCCCGTTGTATGTATAGCTTGGTTGTAATAGTCTACCGTTACCGAAGGAGCCGACAAGGACGAAACCGAGGACGACGATCTCACAATGGGCGCATCCAATTGCAGTAGTTCTTCCTGTTTTCTACTCTTAATAGCTTCTTCCAGCAGCGTTGACCTGGATTGTTGAATGCGGTATCGTTTTTTGCGATCCTCGTCCCACACATGAGACTCTTGTAGGTATTGCCATCGACTCCACAAGACAAACGTCAACACCAGGGCACCTAGAGCGTAGGTTATTCTCCAAATCATGAGGAGTGATTCTTGTGCTTGCTGTTGTTGCTGTTCTGATATTCCAGTAATCCACAAGAGTGCTGTCATGGTGACAGAATTGCAAAGAATGCCAACTCCTTGCATGGAAAACACAAGTTGAATATGCCTTCCTCTATGTTGTTGTCTGTGTTCCTCATTGTGAGTGGACGTGTTGTTGCGAATTGGAGTTGTAGCAGTTGTCGGCAATGCGTTTTCATATAGAGCGCTGTAATTGTTGTGGGTATCATGTTGTTGCATTTCTTGTGCCTCCCTATGCCGTAACGCTCCCATGGCATATTCTGAAGCCGAACTGGCCGAGAGAGGATATTCTTTAAAAAAACAAGAAGAAGAGTTGTCAGTTCCTTTTTCTTTCGATAGTCATTGTGTTGCTTTGTTTACTCACCACCCCCTACACCCAGACCAAAGACGAAAAAGAGCATGGAAAGGGCTCGGTACAACCAGACTTCTCGATCGGTCAAGAATATCGACACCAGAGTCACCCCCCATGCTCCAAATGCCATGATACTAGCCGTAATGATGCTTCCGGTTCGTCTTCCTAGATGATTCGCGGCATACCCCAGCGCCACCATGCCTACCATGACACCCAAAACGACGCTGTACGTGAGCGAACCCAGCAGCGTGGAAGAGCATGTTTCACCACTAAAGCAATCTGGATAGAGTATTTCCCAGAGGGGTTTTAGTGTTCCAATGGAAAAGAGCAAATAGGATTCTCCAAAGAGACCTAAACCAGGCCAGACGGATTTCAACAAGAACTGATGGCACAGAGAGCGAGGCTCCGACGATGCATCTTGGGGCAGTTGAGGTTTTGGCGGTTGACTTGGATGCTGCTGCCTCTTCTTCTGCTTCTGCTTTGGCTGATCCTGCGAAGACGACATTTCAAAGAGGGGCATGGTGCCGTACTGCTAGCGACTGTTGTGGCTTGTCGAGACAACAAGAACAAGGTCCCAGGGCATGATCAACAGACAGCGGTCTGATGCGATGAAGTAAGTGTGCGCCATGAGAATTTGTTGGAGGGTCGGTTTCGCATCGGCTCTGCTTCAACGGAAACAGCCGAGGTGGCCGCGTCGATTGCAGCTTTTTCAAAGATTGAATACTGGTAGCGGATCGAATCAATTCGAACTGAAGGTGGACAAATTTATCGATTTGATTCGAATAGATATCCAAAGAAGAAAGATCTGCTGTCCGCCACACATCATTCCCACCCAACAACACACAGTACGCCCTCGAATTCTCACTTTCCCAGCTTCATTTCACTCCACTATCAGTACCGCTCCTTCCCCTATCACCAGAGAAAGTAAAGCAGGTGTATCATCGCCATGTCCAAGGTCGTCGGTAGCTTTGGTCGTCTGTGGGGGCGTGGTTTTGAGAGCTTTTTGCCTGACCAGCGTCGTATTCTCTCCATCAAGGGCAAGGGAGCTACCAACTACCTGCAAGGATTGGTGACCTGTGACTTACTGTCCGATCCGACGCCTTGCACTCCGGAACCACTGGATGACAAACAACCAGGAATTCCATTAAAATACCAACGAACCGCCAAAGACTACGAAGATCTACCCAAGGTGGAATTCTCTAAAAAATGTCGCAGTGCGTGTTTCTTGGATAACAAGGGTAGAATCGTAACGGATTCCATTTTGTGGAAAGCCACGGAAGAACAGTATTTCATTGATGTTCCCGCGGATACATCCGACACTCTACTGGAACATTTGAAGCAATTCAAGTTGAGACGAACCAAAGTGACCATTGAAGATTGTTCCGACCATACCACCAGTCATGTCGTCTTTGGAACACTCAATGCCCAAGCCACACCCGAAGGATTCTTGGCTGCCATGGATCCCAGACATCCCTCCTTGGGAATGAGAGTACTCACATTGCCGGTTGAAAAACAGCAACAGCAACAATCTGCACAAGAACAAAGGGATTATTTTGCAGAACTCTTGTCATCTACATTCCCAGAGTCCATTGGAAACTATGACGTGGTAAGGCGATTAGTCGGTGTGGCCGAAGGAGCCGAAATTCAAGGCAAGGTCGCATCCGAATGTAACCAGGAATTCTTGAATGCGGTGTCCTATCATAAGGGATGCTATCTGGGACAAGAATTGACGGCGCGAGTCCATCATACAGGTAAGGATTCGATTCAGTCATTCATTTAGTTGGACATTCGACCCTGGACAGTTCAACAAATTTCAAAAAACAACTTACTCAAGAGGCGTCACCTCATATTATCCTTTGATTAGGAGTGTTGCGGAAACGAATCATGCCTCTTTTCCTGAATAGCACCAATACCGAAATACCCGGAGCGTGGGCCGTCGCCAGTCAATTGCAAGAAGGACGAAAACTCAACAAATTCACAAAAAAGGAACTCAACGCCCTGCCCACCAGATTGCCACGGCTCTCCGTTCTGGGGGCCGGAAACTTGGTGGGGCTCATGAGCGCCTCCATTGCCCCGGACATTCCAGACGATATCCCGGAGGCACAGGAAGAATTGAAAAAGGTACAGAGAGAAGCCGGAGTCCTGTTGAGTGAACTGGAAGAGCATGCGACGCAAGGATCCAAAATCACAGACGCGAAGGATGGGAAAACGGTAGGACAGATTGTATCCGCCCCCGCCAAAGGAACCAATGTGGTTTTGGCGATGATGAGATTAGATCGTGTTGGATTGCTTGGAGAAGACAGTACCTGGGACAGAACCAACCGTGTCAAAGTGGGCGACGGATCCGGAGAGTTCCGCTTTCTACCGTACTTGCCCCTGTGGTGGCCGACAATCGACGGGTCCACTGGTAAGGCCCTGATAGAGGATCATGATGACGACGAATACGACGATGATGATGAAGAGGACAGTGACGAAGAAAGGGACGAATCAAACGACAATCGGCAATCATAGCTTCTATATCTTAGGCAGGATATTAGGTTCAGGGTGTAGTCGTAGCTAGTAGTACGTGCCACGGTTTCTCACGTGGAAGACCATCATCTATCTCTCGATCAAGGGAATGCTTGCCTGGGGCTTTCACTCGCCAAACCATCATCCATCAAGTTGAACGCTTCTTTCAAGCAACGCGCCCTTTCTCTTGCTGCATCATCGAAGATGCTGTCGAGACCACTTTCTGCAAATTGTTGTATAGATGACCGGCAAAGAAGCCGGCCTCGAAGTCCGTGTCCCTTTACTTCTGTTACCTCGCAAATGGCATAATCGCCTGACTTGAGGTCTACTCGAGTCATGGAGTCAAGATCACCTCGAGGAAGTGCATGATGTGAGCCTGAAGCGTTCACATGTCCCAGGATTTGATGCAGGGCCCTCTCACTGTAGGATGTGCAAGCTTCCTCGTCACTAGGGAAAAGTATTCGCTTGTTTTGGTCGGTGCGTCCACTCCACGATCTGTTCCCAGGTTTGCTTCGTTTCGATTCTCCCTCCACCAGGACTAACCGCAACCTGCCAAGCTCCACCTCCTCGTTCTTCCTCTGAACATGGTATCGAAAGGTATCAATCACTTCTCGTAATCTTCTCAGTTTGATCTCTTGGGGTATATTATCTTGCATGGTTCTATGAGCATGTGTTTTCTCCCTCAAACTGTACGCAAACATGAAGGCTTGATCGTACCGCACCTTTTCCATGAGCGAAAGAGTGTCTTGATGTTCTCCCTCTGTTTCATCGCAAAATCCACTGATAAAGTCACTCGAGATGGCTACCTCTGGGATTGTTGCTTGCACATCCGAAATGAGGTCCAGATATGCTTCTCGAGTGTATCCTCTCCGCATTCTCTTTAATACCGAGGATGACCCCGATTGAGCGGGCATATGCAGACTCTTGCACACATTGGGTTTCTCTGCCATGAGCGACAGGAGTTCTGGTGGATAATCTTTGGGGTGGGGGCTCGTGAATCGAACTCGTAATTCTGGAGATATGTTGCTAACTGCTTCCACGAGATCTGCAAAGAAGTATCCACCCCCTCTTCGCCGTATTCTGCTCTTGAAGCCCTGGTTGGACATTGTGTAGTCGCTGTCCGGCATCATGGCAATCGCCGTTTCGCTCTGGTCATGGTATGAGTTGACGTTTTGACCAAGCAATGTAACCTCCTTAACCCCTTCATCATACAACGCTTGCACTTCTGAAATCACGCTTTGAAACGGTCGACTTCGCTCCACACCTCCTCTGGTGAATGGGACAATGCAAAAGCTGCATCTGTTGGAACATCCTCTCTGGATACTCACAAAGGCTGAAACATCATCCGTATTTCTACGGACAGGAGTAATATCCGCATACGTCTCTTCCATACTAAGCTGCACGCTGACAGCCTTTTCTACTTGGGAAGTTTCGGAAGCCAAATCTTGCAAGAGCCGGGGTAAATCTCGGTAGGCATCGGGCCCCACCACGAGATCGGCCAAACCGTCCTGGAATAGATCTTCCTTGAGCCGCTCAGCCATGCAGCCCAAAACTCCCACTAGCTTTTTGCCCTTTTTTCGTGCAAATCTACCTCGAAGTTCTCTCATTCGATGCCATACTTTTTCTTCGGCACCCTCTCGGATGGCGCAGGTATTGGTCAAGAGCACCTGGGCTTGTGATTCTTCGGGGACTTCTCTAAATCCTTGCTCCAGGAGCAGTGCTCTCACAATGTCGCTATCACTCACATTCATCTGACAACCGTAAGTTTTCAAATGGAAAGACAGACGACTGCTGGCAGCGTTATCTGATGTCGAATGGGTTGTGGGCTCATGGTTTTTTGTGGCACTGCCCGAGACGAAATCGTTCAATGTCAAGCCATCTTCAGGGATCAGCTTTGATGACTGGGACGAGGCTGTTCTCTTTAATACACTTGGAAAACTACCCAATCTTCGTTGTCGGCACCTATTGATGGCAATAGCAACCCTAACAGGGAACATCATTGTCTATTACCAGCAGTTCCTCGTCGACGGCTGTGGCGAATTGTGATACTGTATGGTTTTCTGTTGAGTGTTGAGTGGTGGCAAGGTTTTGGATACACCGTGTATAGAGACCAGATCTTTTCCAGAGGTGGCTTAGTAAATTCATATGCCCCCTGGGTCGTCTCCGTTTCCAGTACTAGTTTAACTTGTCTACTAATACAGGATAATGGTGAATAGAATCGAATGAATCATGTGGCTTATATTTAGGGTTTAGGTTTTG